ACCACAAAAAAAAAATCCCCAAAACTTCTGCATCTACTTTTTCTTATAGGACGTCTTGCTGCCACTTAATGTGGCTACTCTGTGATAGAATCAGTAAATCTTGATATGATCAGTAGGTAAGTTCATAAAATACAACTTGAGAATAAAAGAACTGTATTTATCAATCAGAAACCATCACCTACTTTTTCTTTTCTCCTCTACTGTGAGATAAAGTCCTTTGCCAGAGTTTTTGGAAGAAGCTTACATTTTTAGTTTTTTTTTCTCTCCACGTTTAAAATATAGAAATTACAAACTTTATGCTTAGTTTGTTAAAAAAAAATCTATTTTTGCACGTGCATACTTTGTAATGCTGAACTCAAACTGGTCAGAGAAAACAGTAAAATAAATACTGAGAAAAGATGACCACTGAATAACCAGAGGATAACAGAACTGCAAACAGCAATGAGAAATAGTTTTTAAGGACTAGAGGTGTCAAACTGACGATATATAATTACTGTTATCACCACCACTCACAAGTACAAGGAGAACTTATTTTAATCCTTACTTCAAACCATCCCAACAGCTGAGACAAGAAGAAACCTCTTCCAGCAAGTGGGCAAACCACACTGTCTAGATTGAAAACGTGAAATTCTGGCCACACGTTAGCAATCTATAAAACTTCTGCAACTGCAAGATGCAGCTATCTCAGTAATTGTTGCAGGTCTCTACAATATGTAAGGTAAAACAAAAATGTGGAAAACAGCTTGTATTTTTCCTCCCTTTCTCCTATCATTAAACTCCTACTCAAGGATGCAATTGCAAATCACCACGTCATTCCCTCTTAAGAAAATCATGTCCGTTCTTTAGAGCCTGAGTCAAGGAGTACTAAAGTTGATGAAGAAAATCTTATTTTGTAATGAGATACTTTTTCAAAAGTAATTGTTATTACAGAATACTGAAAGAAATGTCCCAGCAGGTGACAGTGAAGACAGTTTTGTACCCATTACTGTGATCCTATCCTTTTAATGCTACAATGTTCCCAAAGGACATTTGCTTTTTTTTTATTAAATTAGGCAGACAAATCACCATACTTATTACGCTCTTACATTTTAGTACAAGTTTAATCAGTACTTCCAGCTCAGATTTTTCTTTGTAGCTACTATTTTACAGTAAATACTATACTAATAGTTACTATGCTGGCCTAATACAAACACAGAACAAGATGTTCTTAAAATTAAAAACCACCCTTACTATATGGTAGCACAGATGGACTAATTTATATTGTACTCTACTCCTAACTGCTTTTGCAAACTTGTCTGAATGACCTTTTCAGGCCTCGATCTACTTCTGTATTTGGCATCAAAACCTCAGGGGTTAGTAAAGCAAAATGCCACTTGCTATGGACGTATCCTCAGTTACTCCTGGCAGGAAGAAGAGCTGGACCTAAACAAGTTCATATGATGGACAGTCTATGTTGTTTAACCGGAAAGGGTCTTCACGGCACTCAAATGCTGCAGCATTTCACCCAGTTCTGTATGCAGCTCACATTGGTGTATCTTTTCATTAAAGGTACTACTCTTAGAATTACAGAATTGTTAAGGTCGGAAGGGACCTTTAGAGATCACCTAGTCCAACTCCCTGCACACGCAGGGTCACCTAGAGCACGTGGCACAGGTTGCATCCAAGCGGGTTTGGAAGATCTCCAGAGAAGGAGACTCCACAACCCCTGACCATCCTCGTAGCTCTGTGCTGGCCTCTCCAGCAGCTCCACATCGCTCTTGCACTGGGAAGCCCTGCACTGGGCACAGCAAACACCGCTAAACATCAGGTAAAGACGTTAAGCAAAGCCTGAACTATAAACAGCAACTACCTGTACAAAGGACCCCTTTTTTGAAATGGAATTTTCCATCCTCTCTCATGAATGGGGGACGTCAGCACCCTAACAAGATTTCCTAACAGTACCTCTAACTCATTTTCTTTTTTGATGTGGTAACACAATTCAGTAGAGAAGGCTTCCATTTCAACAGTTCTTCAGGAGCTCAGAAGTCCAGCATGGCAGGATTTGATACTGCCATCTCTTCTTGCCTTGTTCAAAGAGTGGAGCCAGCACCTCTAAGGTACCTTCCAAAGTATTTAACCAACACAGCAGAAGGCCCAATACGTCTTGACCCTGCACTGGTCATGAGGCTCATAGAGACCTTCTGAAATTAAAATGGAGGTGACATAATACTGCCAAACAAAAGGACTACATCTCACTGCGAAGTACAATAGACCACTTTGAATTGTTTCCTGCTTGTGTCTGAAGAGGCATACAAAGTGATGTGAACAGAGTTGTTAAATATTTAGGTTAAAACCTTTCTCAACTGGTCTGGAAGAAAGTTGAAAAATGGTCATTCAAATAACATTCCTAAATTTAAGCCTTCATAAAGAAAACACATACTGTCTGGCTATTGGAACTGTAAAATGCAACAACCAGCACAGAAAAACATATGTCAGGATGGCTTCTGTGGTGTTTTTTTTTTTCAATCTGTCAATTCCTCAGGATAAGTAACTGAGGAACTGCAGGCGCTGTAAGCCTATTCAAACTATCTAATAACAAAGCACTTCTCCTGTGGGCTGCAGCAGCTTTATACATGACATCATTTGATTACAGAAGGCAAACACTTGCCAATTTTAAATAAAACAGGATTCTGTCTGTTGAAAACAGACAGATGTCTACAAGAGCGGCTATTTCTGTGGCTCCATACTATCTCATGCTAACTCATGGTGTTGCACTAGCAACAGCAAGTCAGCCTCATACTACTTACAACAACGTGCTTGAAGCTGCAGCGCATGAGAATCTCTGCAGTGGGGCTTGCTTCCTAAAACGGAACGCTCACAAGCTTTATAAAGAAATGCATCACATTAAGATGTATGTTTATTGCAAGTGGCTTAACCTCAGATAATAAAGTCCACCCTCAGGGCTTGAACCTCATCTACACTACTGGGAAAGGCAACTGTAAAACAGCAGCTGTAAAAAGGAGAGAAGCAGAACAAGTAGTACCCATAGATCCAAAGGAATGGCTCATGGAAAGAGAAGGTGAAAGCTCTAGTGAAGGTGTTTTTCTTAAATGGAAACAAAATATATCTCACCAAACCATTCTGAAGTGTTCACAGAAGGAGCATAAACACCTGATTTTCCTAAGGGTGCAGGGTAGGTAGTGCTATAGGTCCTGAGGGGACCTATAACCTCAACCTTCTTCAGCTCTACCAGGCAGAAAGAAGTAAGAGAAGGATCTGTTAACTGCACATAAGATATAGGGTTCATCTTGGAGTCCCTCTCACTATCCATCAGCATCTCCTGCTGCAGGAACACAAGTGGGTTTTACTTCTGAGAACCATTTGCACTATCACACCAAAAGAAGGACCACTGAACATACACCACTGGAGGTCAAGCTGAAGAGATAAAAAGAAGTGGTATTCTTATAAGAGATACTGCATTTGCCCCAGAAATTAATACATTTCTAGACTTTCAGATAATTGTATTTCTTTTGCAGAAAAAGAGGTGAATTAGTTCTTCAAACCCACGTTATGTTAAAGCAATATTTAACTTGCTGACCTGAGAGGTACCTCCTCTAAAGGTTACCCTTTAACACAGCGGAGAAGGATGCATCTTGCAGAAGAAAAGTCTCAACCAAATTTTTGCTGTCTCTCCATTCTGCAAAAATAAGTGTCTAGGCAAGGACAAAGACTGAAATGATGGAAAAGCAGGAGATTGTTCATGTTCCCCCGACCCAAATACTGTCAGTCTGGTAGCTGCCATGCTGGGGTGCAGTCTGTGGACATGTGTAGGCTACTCAAAGCACATCTGGCAAGACATGGGATGAGATGTCGACTTGCAGTGGGAAGATGAAGTTATGGGAAAAAGGAATCTTGAGGGACAGAAGGCAGACATTTGCAGAAAACTAGAATAAATTGTTTCTGCAGCCTATAAGATGAAATTCAAGATATTTCTGAAAGGGCCATACTTCAAATCAGTACTGAAAATGATTCAGCGTATTTGCACAGCGCTGTTTCTTGGGGAGAATATCTTAGAGATGCTTCCTTGGGAATGCTACATTCCCTAGAGAATGCCACCAATGACCACTTGTGAAATGCCAAGAGATAACACGGAGGTTCTAATTTGGACTCTAAAAGATTTTTTAAATATTTCAGAAAAAATGCTGCTTTAATTATTTTTTGAGAGCTGGCAATCTGTAGAACAGCCTAAATTTCACAGTATAAACCATAAACAAAGCTGTGAGAAGTATTAAAAGGGAAATTAATTGGCAGCATGCATTTTTCTTTCAAAAATGTTTTATTTTCTAGTTGGACGCTTCTTCATGTGCTGGTGACAGAACTTACGGAAATTATGGTTACTGCTACTAAAAGCCAGTAAACGCTTTGGGACTTTCAACCCTTAGTTTGCTGGCAAAATGAATTACCACTAAACATGTCAGGGATCCACTTGAGATTCCTTCTTGGCTTTATCTCCCACTAGGGACAGGTAAACAGCCATGTCTTTCAAGTTCTATAAGTTGTTTTCAGCAGAAACAGCGAAACTACAGGCTAAATGCAAAGTGAGCACTACAATTGAGTTAAAATCAGTTTTCAGTGATGCAAGTTGACAGGTATTTGGCTAGCCAAGGAGCACGGTGCAATGTTAGCATGGGAACGACTGATGTGCCTGTTGCCTTTGAAGATTTGGAGAAAATTAAACAGGATCTGAGGTGGACGTTCAAAATCTACGTGTGTCACATATTTCAAATTCAGGATTGTTTTGTTTTAAGACTCTCATTCAAGCCTGTCATAAGCAGTAGCAGAGACAGCAGCCTAAAAAGGATGAGCTCCCTCCATAAATAAGGCCTCACTTATTCTTAGATGGCAACAGCACACGTAAAGTAGATCTTTCTAGTCACTAAAAGCACTCAGCTCTGGACCTGACCTCACAAACCACGCAATAAAAGTGTACTAAGAGGAGCCAGGGAGTTTACAGTGCTTACCTGCTTCTGCGCTGAGGCTCCCATATGCACCTGGCAAAACTTGACTGCCTGCTCGAGTGCTACTTCTTCATCCACCTGAATCACAAATAATGAAGTCTTAATTACGTGGGTTACATGTAAATCCAACAACCTTCTGATGAAATACTGCTGTGGGGCAAAGCGGGGAAGCAGCCCTTCTGTGCCAGGAGTGAGCTGAAGTTTTTCAGCAATATACATCTAAAGACACACATCTTTTCTTAATTTTAACTAACATTTATTATGAAAAAAATCTGTGCCACTGGTAGGAGAGCTCTTAATTGATTTCAGCAACTTAGAACTGGGCTCTTCAGTTTGCAACCATGGAAAAGCCAACTTTACTTCCCTCCAGAAGGGCTCTTATTAAGAGAGTGGCTCTTTAGGAGATATTTATCCTCCCAATTTTTCCATGTAAAGAAGATCGATTTTATCTTGCTTGGTTTGGTGTTTACTGTGATTCTTGGATTTAATCATGTTCCATTAGCAGATTTTTTTTTAATTTACCACAGATCTATCTGATCATTCCTTCTGTAGGCCTCACTCTCTGACAAAGAGCAGAATAACAGGGTCTAAAGGTTCTGTGCGTCAGCTACTGCTGAAAGCAACTTGAAAAAAAAAAGTCAGAAATAACGCCTCCTTTGCATCCTCTTTGTCAAGTCCACAAAGCATTACTTTTAGAAATTAAGAATGTTAATGAACTTCACACAGAATGTATAGTGCAGCTCCACGAAAGTCAAAGGGAAATGCAAAGGACACACAGACAAGAAATATTAGGACTATTTTCTGCCAGCTAACTCAAAATTTGACTCCAGAGAGCCTTCTCTGAGGCCACAAAGAACTCATGACTAATAAAATACTTTACCTGCTTAATCAGCATGTACGTTTCAGACATGATCTTCTCAATTTTACCTAGGTCATAGGCCATCACTTTCTGACCTTGCTGCCATACTCGGTAAGCATCAAGCAAAAGTGTTTTCCCAGACTCTACATCCTCAAGCAATTTCCTCTTCCTGCTTGATCTCTGCACAGGCTCCTCTGCAGGTACTGCCTGAACTAGTCCTTTAACTGCCTGCTGCTGCTTTGAGCTGATACTTAGCTCCTCCAAGGAGAGTTCTGCAGTCCGGCTCTCTGGGGCTCTCTCCTTGGAGATCCTGCCAGGCTGAGGACGCTCTGGCTCACTGCGCTTACAGGAAGAATCAACTTTTTCTGGGTCATTGGAATATCCATCAAGATCCATAGGTTCCACTGAACCAGGTCTAGGGAGCTCTTTAATTTCTTTGTCATTCTTCGTCTCTTGTTCTAATATGTCCATAGCATTGGGGATTTGTCCTTGGGTCCCTTCTTTCACTCCATTTTCAGTACTGTGTACAACTCCATCTGACAAAACTGGCTTTTTGGGAAGGACTTCTTTCCCCTCTTCAGCACTAGTTTTATTAGAGACGTCTGTTGTCATCCTTCCTGCAGCAAAGTTAGAAGACTTAGAAACCTGATCTTCTGAAACCTTAAAAAAAAAAAAAAAAAAATCTTTGCTGTTATTACAGAAAACATTTGAGACAACTATGAATAACATGAATATTAACCATAAATACCTCTACATTACTGCCTCTGCTGAAGAAAATGCATTTATTCTATGCTCATTGTTTGTTTGTAGATATTAATTAATACAAGCCACAAGCCGCATGACTAATATATTTTACTCAGCAAAAATGCTGCAGGGAAATCAACAATATGGACTGAACCAATGCTGCAGTTATTTTTTCTCCTTTTTCAATCTACGGTGGTATCTAACTATGTGAAATCCAAGGTTTTAATAACAAGAAATTTTCTTCTAATGTACTGAAACATAAACTGAGCCTGCTTCTTTTGGCAGCTGCAGATCAACCTCAAATTAAACTTCATAATCTCCCCTTTGGTTACTCTTTCATAACTTTTTCTTATGATTAGATGGAGAAGTATGTTAAACTCTGCTATAATATTTCAAATTTGTGCCTTTACTTTGGTGACAGTCCAAAGGGAGAAAACCTCAGTACTTTAAAAATTGCTAATGATATAATTCTTCCACTGAGATTTATGGAGGAACTGTAATCTCTACAGAGTTCCAGTTGTTCTTAAGTACATTTTCACTTTGTCAAGCCTATCTTCTGTGAACTCATAAAACCTTAAGGGACAAGTTCTTCCTTGAATGTGTTTATTATTTGTAGCTTCTAATCTGCAAACTAATTAGTCTTTAAACGACATTTTAAAATTAAAGCTTTATATGTAATAACAGGTATGCTGATTTCAAGGACTAGCATTTAAAAGTGGCCAGGAAGGCTGAATTTAGTTTTATGTTTTGGTTCCACAAGAGGAACTTCATTTTAAAAGAAACGTTACATCAGTTTCCTCCTGAAAATGCAGGCAGTCTCACAGCCCACATATTTTTTCTTACTTGAAATTTAAGGGGAAGTCACATCAAATCGACTGTTACCCTTTCTTAACCATTACAGATGTTTCTGGATTTTTTTTTTTTTTACCTCTGCAACAGGGCAACGCTCCAAGAAAGTTTTCTGTGTAGCTGCTTATAAACAAACAGCAGTAGAAATAAGCAAAGTGGATGCAGCCTTTCAGCCTCAGGAGAGCCAAGGAAGGGAGAACCTAAGCACTAAATCAGTGCCCACCAAAGGCCCTGCTGCCTCACCTGCGTCAGGTCGTTGAGCGTGTCCTCCAACACCTTCACTGTGAGCACAAAGGCTCTCTGGGCCAGAACCTGGCGATCTGCATCACGCAGGTACTTCCTGTGCCACGGGGAGAGAGCAGAAACGCAGCTAAGTGCCAAAAACTTAGCAGGCTTTAAAAGCAGGAACATGCATACACATGAAAAGCATGTGTGTGTGCATGTGTGTGTGCGCGTATATATATGTATATGTATTTTTCACAACTTAATCTAACATCAAGTATGAGGACATTCACAAATGGAATATGTGGATATTCCATAAACTGTGTAAATAACACTAATGGCACTGAAAAAAAAAAAATCCTTTTTCATAGGTCATACCAGTTGCTTTTGAATTCAGCTTTTTGCAGCTAAACCACTGGTGAGCTAACTTTTTTTTTTTTTCCATTTAGTAATATAAAATAAGTAGTAGTACCATAAAATTTATTCACACTATAGCCTCATCTACTCTATTAAAGCACTGCAACCTCACTGCATGATGACATGATCGTTTATTTCACTTTCAAAGAAACTATTTCCAGCCTTCACCCCCATCTAATGGAGTTTGATGGAAAACTAATTTTCAATTTCAGAACTATTTCTAATGAGAAACAGCTAAAAAATTAAGTAAATAATTTTGAAGGGTACCATCTAGCCAGAAAGTCACCAATTTTAATATAAGCATTTTCTTTTGGACTTGTTACACTCGTTTAGTAATTTTCTGTTTTGCCATTGAGACCAATGATACAAATATTTGACGTATCATTAGTTTAGTAACAGCCAGTAGTTCCACTGGAATAAAACCCCCCTACTTTCAAAATTAGAGCTGCTAAGGGCATATGCCAGACACACCCAGAATACACCCAGAATATTTGCATTTCTAAGTTCCTGTAATGACCACAGTTCACCATGGTTGGCACTAGTTGATCCAACATGTCAAATTACTTGTTGGTTAAATTCAGTCTAGACTTATAAATAACATAATATTTTTAGTACAACCGTGGGCCCGTCTAGGACAAATTTTAAGCCATCTATGGCCCAGTGCTTCTGATATGCTAAAAGTCAAAATATTTTTGGCTTCAACTTTGCTGAACATGTAGTGACATATTCCCAGCCATGCTACGACCTATGCAAGTGCGCATGCACTCACACTCAAAAAATACATGCAGAAACCTCCACTGCCTTCCACTTACTGCCATCAGTCACTTGGTTCAATTTCTCAAGCACTTGCCAGAGACTAATTTCAACATTTCCCACGCAGCAAACTGGAATTTTACTTCAGTTGCTTCAGTGTTTTCCTTAGGGGTTTATTTTGGTCCTCCCAACGCTAAGAATCTCTATATAGTCCACATTAAATGGCTTCTTCTTAAATAGGGTTAATGTAATTACAACTAGGTCACCCCCAAATTGGATAAGTCTTTTAAATAGCAGCAGCTGCCAAGAGCCACTGTGTGGCCAGCCAGGGATTACAGGGACACGAGGTGCCGGGGCCACGACCTGCTCCCCTGGACACAGCTCTTATGCAAGAAGGAGGCCACGGGGTGACAACTTGCCCCAGCCTGTCCCTCCACTGATTCCCGAAGTGTGAGGGAGAAAAATCTCTGCAAGGCTGGGAAAGCAGCCCTACGTTGCAAGAGAAATGCAAAGAAATTCTGGACTGTTCTGGAATCATTAATTCTGGGTCACTTTTGCTATCATTATACTGAATATCAGAGGAAGTCTGTCTAAAGACTTTTTTTTTTTAATTTAAAGATTATTCTGGAAAAACAGTCATGCAATGAACAAAATATTCCCAGTTTTACAGAGTAGAGGATTAAACAGAAGATTGCATACTTTCCCTGGTCGGGGGTCCTCTGGAGCATGGACGAGACCTTCAGCAGGGTGTTATAATCCTTCAGCTGCGACAGGACGTTCAGCAAGAGCAGGATGGAGCGGTTCATATGAGAGGCGAAGCTGCCCGGGCGATCGATCTCATCCACGGGGATGCGCCAGATGCCCTGGAAATAGAGGAAGGGAGGAAGCCCTGAAGCCCCAGCCAGCTGGAAGGGATGGGGGATGACAACGGAGAGCTGATTTTTCAGCAAATTTGATGCTGCGGCCCTTCAAGTTTGGAGATCTGGATTTAAAGTCAACTGATTAATTCCTGCCGGTAGCAAAAAAGCAGAGTCTTGCAGAGTCTGCAGCAGCCCTTCCCAATGTTTCTGATTCCCAGGAAGAAGGAAAAAAAAAAAAAAAAAAAAGCAAAGCCTAAATTGTTTTGTGCAATTTTCTCAAAGGAGTAAAGAGGACTCCCTAAGCCAAAGCACAACTACCAAATAAAATGGGAGCTAACATATTTTGAAATGTCCCCACCTAAAATCTACAACTACTGTGTAGCTACAGCAAGATGTTGTCTTCAAACAGATGGTTACTACATTTACTAAGAGCTTGGTTACTGCCTTGCTATCATCAGAGCCTTCACCTTGGGACCAACCAGCCTGATGCTACGAATCAGATTCCTCAGCAGCATCCACTTCCCCCGGCAGATCCCAACACTTGTGCATATATCCTGAGCCTCCTAATTAAATTTCTGGGACAGAGAGAATCTTTGGGGAGCAAGGCTGGAGATTGATATGAAATATAATTTAATTTTGGTTAGTCAGATTCTGCAATGACTAATAAGTCTATGGAGATTGTTTTCAGGTGTTTAGTATGGATGCTGTCAACACATAAGTCAACCATATTTGAAAATCGCAATTCAAATAATGCCATACTTGATATACATTGGTATATACAGCCCTGCGACCATTCAAAAATTGCTGGTATGTCAACACCCTTCCCCTTTTATTCCTCACTTTATTTGCCTCTGGATTTTTTCCCTGTAGCAGAAAATTAGGATGGAGATCCTCAGGTCATCTACCTCATTTTGTGTGGATGCAGGGGTGGGGAGAGGTGGGAAAGGTCTCACCAATATGAGAATTGGATAGAAAATCAATTCTGCTTTCCAAATCTGTTCAGAGAGCAAGATATATATATACATATATGTGTGTGTGTGTGTGTATATATATATATATATATTTCCATCCTTATTTCAAGGCCTTACTTTGATATTTTAGTTTTACTCCCGCATAAGCAAAACTCTTTAAAACTTACCAGAAGGAGGAAGCAAAAGAAAATGACGACTGCAACCATGGACGACACGACCATGGAAAGAAAGCAGACATGCAAATAGCCTGTGCACAGCAGGTCTGCCCGGCACTCGCAGGATCTGCACTTCTGTTCCACAGGCTGTGCCAGAACTTGGGAGAACAACAACAAAAAGCCCTGCCCAAACTCACGCACCTTTGAAATGGAAGCACCAGCTTTAACCAGAGCACCCAAGCTGCTCTGCAGATCTTTCTTGCTTGAGCTTCTTCTCATGCTCTACTCCCTTATTTCCCCCAGCGCTAACACAAATTTCCATCTTTCCTCCTCCCTGAAAGGAATTGGATTTTTCCTGTAGTTTCCTTTTCTCAGGAAGTACCTAAAACTGTAACACGACTGCCCCTTGGGGCACAACCGTTGCTTCCTTCTGTCCCAGCTGCCATCACGCGCCTGGCCCTGTCCCAGCTGCAGGAGCAGCTTTATCTGCTCGGGCAGCTCCCACGCTGCCAAGCGCCCGCAGCCCTTGCGGGGTCGGGACGGGTGAAGTACCTCCCTATGCAATGGGGGGTTTCTCCTCCATGCTAAGCAGGAGCTGTGCCTGCAGGTGGCACGTGCAGGTTTTGCCTCTCAGCACAGCAATTTCCACTCGAGCCTGAAGGAGCGGAACACGTCACAGTGGCACCACATCTCAGGAGCCTTCGAGGCTGCCTCACCACACGAAACCTCTCACGGCCACCTCGCCACACGTTGGCTCTTGGGCTTTCTCAGCCTCCCCGTGGGCCAGGAAAGGCACTCAGCCCAGCCTGGGGACTGCAGCTGGGGGCAGCTCAAAGGCACTTTGCAGCTCACACGACCCCCTGGTGCATGTGAGGAACCTCAACACACACCGAATACAAGTGGGATTCATCGTGATTTAGACGTTTGCGAGGCTCCCATCCTTTCTTTTTTTATGTGACTGAGGAAACAAACAGAAAATTCTACGAATTGTAACAGATTTAGCCCAAAGACACCCTTCAGAAAGGCCTAATCCTGCATGCAGAAAGGTTAAGCATCTCGGGCTCCGCACATTAACTTAGCATGATTCACATGACTCCGTTCCTGCCAAAAAGCAAGAGCCAGGACTGTAGCAATCAAAACACCCTCACAGCAATTCACTAACATATTTTGTACACGTTTATTATGCAATTTGGCAACATCAGCAATGGGGATTCTTACTCGTGAGCAAGAAATTCCCAAGCAGTGGGACATGTCCCACCTGCATCATGCCAGGGAGGGCAGTAAGTGCATTTACACCGTGGGCAATGACACAGTTTGCTAACCGGGATGAGGAAGGTGGGTGAATGTTGAGGCTCATCCGATAATTTGGGGATTTTTTTTACACACAGAGTCACATTAGAACACTTTAAATTTACTTTAACCTTGCGATTACAAAAGAAGGTCTGATTTTCAAAGGAAAGCCATCAGTTTTGCATGTGTTGACTTGCCGTTTTTCAAAGGTAGAACAGCAATAAATCAGATTACTGCCCTGTGTTACATACCTACAGTTCCGAGCTAACAGCAGCAAACCAGCCTACAGCTAGGAATCAATACAATCTTCATTCCACCCCCCGCAATTTTATGAAGCAAGATGCAAAACAATAGATGTTAAAATGAGCTTTCTGGAATTTCTTCCATGAGAATTCTTGAATTCTTTTTAAAATACAATCTGAATCAGAGGCTGAGGAGACCATTTAAATCAGGTCTTTTCCAAGTGGAGGTTTTAACCATGGAATCTGACTTTTTCCTCACCGACTGTCCATGACCTGCAGAGGAACTCCTCTGGATGCAGACCTCACATCTGTGCGGTTTTAGACTAGTTTGCCATCCTGCTTTTAAAGCATTCCTAGTAAACGGATGCAAATGCTAAGCTGGCAATGAACTAGCTGGGGAGCACACTGGGAAGAAGTTACTCCTCTAGCTAACGCTAGATACCTCAAATTATAATTTGAAAACTCAGATTTGTCAGCAAGGCACCTCGCTGGCAAGATGCAGTGACAGCCAGAGGAGCCTTTGGAGGCTTCTTCTTCGCCATGGTAAGAAGATGTGGACGTCTCCTGGTGCCGGCACCGAGGGGAGCTGCCAGGCACAGCGCGGCCCCTGCTCACTGGCCGCCCTCCTGCTGCCTGAAGGCTTCTCCTCCCTTCGGCGACAGCCAGCAAGGCTGTTTACATGAAGCCAGAGGAAGGAGTGAGACGCGTCCAACAGCTCCAGAATGCCTGTAAGCTCCAAAACACCAAGCTGCTCTCCGTGCCTTCCTGGCTAAACAAACATTACATAAAAATGGTTGGGGGAAGAGAAGGAAAGCAAGCCTGATATGCACTGGAAGGCAAAAATAAATCTGGAACTAAGTGCAAATCTGGAGGAATTTTATGATGATTTTTCAATGAAATATAAAACTGCATAACGAACCTAGCAGACTACCTTGCTAGTGACACTTACTTTAGTTTTCAGCCTGAACCTGTCAAACAATTTCCACCTGCAGAAGACTTCAAGCTGAGAGAGAGGGCCAGGAGAGGGGACCATGACGCACTCTGTACCGAGTATTTTGCAAGCACAAGTGAGAGCAACAGTGGTGGAGACTTTCTAGTTCAGTCACTCAAAATAGAAAGGAAGGAAGTGCTTATTAATCCTCCATGCTGCTTACTTTAGTACTGTAAGGGAGGGGATTCCCTGGGGTTTAGGAAAGCCTCCCAGAAGAAGAGAAGCCGACAGTTCTCAGCAAAATCCCAGCCACTCCGGGGAGGTCTCCCTGTTGACACTGCAGGGTTTTAGAGCGAGCCGTCTCCTACGCAGGGATCCAACTTTACTTTCTCAGTGCTACGTGATCTCTGTTCTAAACACAGAGCAATACTAGGTACCCCTCGCATGATCTGATTCCCCCAAAAAAATCATAAAAAACTAATCTGATACATAAAAAAACAAATGTGTAAAACAACTGTGATTACAGAGTGAAGATCTCCAAATACTTAAGAGCTGACTCCCAGGTATATTTTTTCACAAAAGTCAAAATTGCAAATTGCACCAAGTACCATAAACGCAATTACACCCCAGCCTTAAGCAAAAAAAGCAAAACACAAATATCTTCAGCCAAAATTTGTCAGTCTGAATAATGTCCTCCTAAGAACAATCTTTAGTAAAAAGCAAGCCAATTTTAAAATTATTTAAAGTTCATTATAACATATGACAAAACTAATAAACCAATATAAACGCCAGTTAACAATATAACAGCAACTTATACATTACGCAAGACTTGAAAACAGAGCTGAACTAAGCAGAGTTGCATAATTTAAGTTATTTGTAAGTCTGTTTTAACACAGAGTTTGCCCAACTTACTGAATTAGCTTTCCTCAATATCATCTCTTTAGGTGAACACAAGATACTGGACTGGGGGCCTGCAGAGTAAAAACAGGTCCAGGCTCAATTTCCTGCATCTCCTCTTCCTGTTTCACTTTGTAGCCCAATTTTGGCTTTTCTTTTGATCATCATTCCTTTCTCCTTTCTATATTCACCGTTGCTTTATACAGTTTTACTGGTTTTAATTCTTCTCTTCGTTTCACCCATATTTCCTATATTTAACTGCGTGTCAGAGCAACTCCACCTCTGTAAACAGGAACTCAGTTCGGTATAAAAATATTAAGAAAAATGAAAGCAGTTATATTCAGAACATTAAAATTACTAGATGAAGGGACTGGTACCATCATAAAGAAAAAAAATAGTAATTCCTGTTTTCTTTGGGTAAATTCAAGAGCCAAATTCAGGAAATTCTCATCAACTCTTTCAGAGCATTAGGTAGCATTCGTGCTTGTTTGCATTTAGTCTTTTTAGACACTAGAGA